GATTGCATGAGTTCAGGTACGATATACCTGATCTCGTGTAACAATTGCGGAGATGAATATATTGGCGAAACGGGCAGACCTTTGTGTATCCGTATAAAAGAACACCTAGATGGCAAACGAAAACTAAGACGAAGCACCCCACTAGGCACGCATAGGATACAAAAGCATAGCGGAGACTTTTTTTGTTTTTTTTTTGAAGTAAAAGTCAATATCCTTGCACAGGAGTCCAAAACACCAGCGCGAAAACTCCTAGAGGTTTTTTGGATCAATGCCAAAAACCCTACAATGAATAGCAGGGACGAATGCTCAGAGGTCATAACGACCTGATCCCGTATGTTCGCATCGATTTTTGATGTGGGATGGTGCAGTCATCAACCATATGCGACTATAATCAGCTGTTCTAAACTTCCTCATTGGAGGTCACGAAAAAGCGGTGGGTTCTTCGAGAAGTTGTTGATTATGGAATTACCATAGAGTCTTTCGTTTTTGTGTAAGTGTTATTGAAGCGTTTAGCCTAGTGGATTGTATATCAGTATACCCTTCCAGGCTCTGAAGAAGGCGATACTGCCGAAGCGTCAGCTAGCGTTGCATTGTATTGTGTTTCTCTATGGAAGTAAATGTGTGCTGTTTAACAACCTCGCGATTGCTGAACAAGAGAACGACGCATTCGTATTCCAATCCCGAGGTTAAGGGAAAGTCGATCCTGGGAACTAAATAAAAAGGTTAAGATTGTGATTATAACTACGGCCTCAACATTTATCTACTTTAACAATGATAACATTATTAATGTTTCTTGTCAACGAAATAAGTTTCGAAATCATTCAAAGTTATTATTGACGCTACTTAAATGTCGACTGGTGAGTATTTTCAATGCCAGCGAAATCATACGAAATTTATATATTTCAAACACGCTTTACTTCCCATTGAGTTTCGATTTCAGTACAAACACTAGGACAGAAGTCTAGCACGATGCATGCGAACCACGTTAAATTTGCTGCCGATGTTAACACTAAACCAAAAGCGAAGCCGATTTCACCGCCACCAAAGCCATCTGAAGTAAGGATTCTTCAACGTTCTTCCAACGTCGGAAGCTACATCATAGAACTTTGCAAGATTTCTACCTTGCAGGTGACCGCACCACCGCCTTCCATACCATTTGCGATTAAGGACGAAGTGGAATTGCTACGATCTGGTGCTCTGAACAAGCACGGTAATCGGGTGAAGACACAAGCTGTGGGAAAATCAGCAGACATCTCCTTACTCAATACTTCCGTAGGACTATTGTAGAACGCTACTAACAAGTAAAACTTGAAAGATTCATTATACCCTTTGACAACAAGGTCCGATATGAAGTAATTAACAGTTGTGCTATCATTTCTATGACAATTGTCTTCTAATTGGAATCAGCTGCGTCAGCTACATGTTATGCACAAGCATTGTGCAAAGCCTGTTCTTTCTCCTAGTTGCTGAAATTTCTTTTTAATCGGTAGACGAGTACTTTCCAATCATGTGATAAATGTATACTGTCAGTCCCTTGGCGCATGTGGCGCAGTGGTCAGAGATGCTCTACAACACACGCGTGTAATCGATCCCCGCACCCACGACCCATCAAGCCCTCCATCCCCTCGAAGTCGGCAAATTGGCACCAGACTTGTCTGGGAGGATAGTATCAGCCAGATATGCATTTCATCACCTCCAAACGATGCTTAAGAAGTCGAATGCATGGCGCATGCCTCTGAGATTGATCAATGCCGAGAGCTTTATCTTTTTCCTCTTATCCTTCCCTTAAAAATAGTTTTTATCTATGACCTATGAAACACGTGGGCATATATCATAGAGAATAGAAGTGTTTTGCAATAGGTTATGGGCGGTTTTTGGTTTGATCTCGGTGTCAGTGAAAGCTCATCATATGACTAGAGTCAACAAATTGATATCGGACTTGTGTAGGAGAGTACAGGAAACACTGAATTAATACATCAATAAACAACTGCAGTCCAAGTATGCCCGTAGTCACGTCACCGTTACCACGAATGCAGTTAGATGCACAGCGCACCCTTAAGTGATTGATCAACGCTGAACGATCTTAAGCTTTAGAACTATGTAACATTTTTAAAAACCATTAGTGTCGGACTACTATTTTTTTGAATGTGTCATTTTCTTGTTCAGCAATCGCGAGGTTTTTAAACAGCATACATTTACTTCCATAAAAACACAATACAATACAACGCTAGCTGACGTTTCGGCAGTATCGCCTTCTTCAGAGCCGCTTTTTCGTGACTTCCAATGAGGAAGTTTAGAACCACATGGGCAGTCGTCAACCACATGCGACTATAATCAGCTGTTCTAAACTTCCTCATTGGAAGTCACGAAAAAGCGGCTCTGAAGAAGGCGATACTGCCGAAACGTCAGCTAGCGTTGTATTGTGTTGTGTTTTTATGGAAGTAAATGTATGCTGTTTAAAAACCTCGCGATTGCTGAACAAGAAAACGACACATTCATATTCCAATGCCGAGGTTAAGAGAAAGTCGATCCTGGGAACTATTTTTTTGCCCTACACTAATGGTACTTGTTGCTATAAACTAATGCATACTGATTTCAATGATTAACTACTCATAAAAGGATAAAGGGCAAAGCTCTCGCTGTTGATCAATCGCTGAGGGATGCGCTATGCATTCGACTTCATTAAGCATCGTTTGGAGGTGATTGAATGCATATCTGGTCTTTACAATAACTCGCAGTGGTCTGCCGATGTATCGACCCGGTGCTGCTGTTCTTCCAGAAAAGTTTGTTACTAATTTGCCGACCCCCGGAGGGATTGAAGGCTTGTTGGGCTCCGGGATCGATTCCACGTGTGTATTGAAGGGCACCTCAGACCACTGCGCCACGCGCGCCCTTAACGACACACACATACCTTTGGATAAACATGAGAGAGCATTAAACTGTGAATACTGAGAATATTTCTGTGCACAATTACAAGCTCATATACTACAATGACATAGGGACTTTGATTTATTCTTTTCAATTAATCAATCAATTATTTTCAAAACGAAAATGTAGTATAAGGGCAGGTAAATGCAAAGCTTCACTGATTACATCGAAAGCCTTAAAGACGGCCTATGAATTGGAGATCAACATGCGGATCAATTATGTGGGCGATTTTCGAAGCGAAGAAACACTAAGAGCGAGAAATGTCGTGCGATATTACAAGTAATGTTGCTGGTTCAATTTACAGAGCCAAACGGTCTGCTTTTTGAAGATGACTTGGTTTCAAATTACTGATTTCGAGGAAATGACGATAACCCGGTCGCATTTGCACATTGTAGTTTAATGCGTCGTTTTCTTGTTCAGAAATCGCGAGGTTGTTATACAGCACATATTTACTTCCGTAGCAAAACAATACAATACAACAGTGGCTGACGTTTCGGAAGTATCGTCTTCTTCACCCTTCACACGCAAAGAGGGCGATTGTGAGAAACATTTTTCGAACAGCCACCTCTGTGTGCACTACCAGGGAACTAAAGGAAGAATCGCGCGACTTGGCTCGGCAAATAGCCATCTCCAATGGCTACGAAAGCGACGCGCCCACGCGAAACACTTGGCCAAAAGAAAGTCGCGGTTATGTTGCCTTTTATTAGCCATGAAGTAAGCGTAGCTATTAAACAATGCTTAAGAAGGGCAGGTCTAGAGGAATCGGTAGCGATAGTTGAAGTACCACCGGCTACTCCACGTCGTTAGTTAGTTTCTCCACTACTCTAACATTTTTATTATTCGATGGAAAAGAAAAGTTAAAGTGTTAATGAAGGTCAAACTTCAAATAGACGCCCTATTTAACAGAAAGGCCACTCACTGTGATGTTACGTGCGGGACTGGCCCACACGTAGTTCACGTGGAGCCACCAGTAAGACGCGCCCCGGGGTCAAAATATCATTTTGAAATAGGGCGCCAGGTCACGCGTGATAGTGAGACTCGTCCTTCCACTTCATCTTTGGATTTTTGAAATTTATCCAAAACGCCTCAAGAGTTTTGCGCGTTGATGTTTTTGATTCCTGCGCTAGGATCCGCACATTCACTTCAAAATCATCGCCGTTGTGCTTTTGTGCCCTATGCGTACCTAGAGGGGTGTTTAAACGGATTTTAGCTTTCCCATCTAGATGTTCTTTTATGCGGACACAATGTGGTCTACCCGTTTCCCCGATATATTCCTCGCCGCATGCATTACATGAGATCAAGTATATTATACCTAAACTCATGCAATCCCCGTCTCTCCCGTTAGGACCCGTTGTTCTAATAAATTCTATATTAACAACCTCGTGTCTGCTTATTGATGAAAAACAGATCATACAGTTTTCTGAGCTGCACAAACGACCATAGAGACGGTTTCGAACTAACTGGCGGCGTAGGGTATTGGGTGGGATGTCAACAATCGTTACATAATTTTCAAGACCACTTTTTCTTAAGCACTTTTTAATGACGTGCTTTACTTCATTTGATATGAAGGGTAACTTAAAGGGGGATCTTACTAAAAAATAGAAAATAAAATTATTCTAATATAAAATAAAAAAAATAATAATAATATAATATATAAAAAATAAAAATAATAATAATATAATATATAAAAAATAAAAATAACAAAAATATTCTAATATAAAATACGTCCAAGCTCTGAGGAAGGGGAAGTCGCCGAAATGTCAACCATCGACCAACAACATCAACAACAACGACAACGACAACGAAGACCTGTACCAACCCCGCATCAGCTTAAGAAGATCAGTTTATAAGATCATATAAATAAATATATCAACTATTTATGCCGAGGTTAATAGAAAGTCGGTCTTTCGAGTTATTAAGGATCACTGTGACTGTTGGAGGTAGAGCACATATGGGCACATAAACAGTTTAGAACTCTCATGTTTATACCAAGGTCTGTATGCTTAATCAATGAAATCAGATCATTATGCATTTACTGGTATCAACATAACCATTGATCTATGGCAGAAAGGTAGTAGTCCAACATCAATGATTTCTAAAACTTCCCAAGACCGACTTTCTACTGACTTCGGCTCTGATTGATATTTCATTGTTTTTCTTCGATAAGCAAAGACGAGGTTGGTATCACACAATTTATTAGCATATAGTAGCTGACGTTTCGGTGGTTTCACCTTCTTCAGAGCTTTGACAGGTCAAGTTGACACGCGATCTACTCAGCCAAACACTTTCTTAACCTTAGCAGAGAAGACAACACAAAAATCTGCACTCGCATAATAAACAGTTTCTTTTACTCATACGCCGTTTTATTCTTTATAAGTGTTCCAATTAGTTGGTGGTGAGCAGCCGCACAGAGCAGTACATGGGCGAAGAATATACCTGCGTCAGGTTACAGAATCGGCCTCAGCTATCGCGCAATGTCACAAAGCACTCCTCTGCGGTTTCTTTTTTGGATTTTTGGAGCTGATCCAGAACGCTTCAAGGGTTCTACGCGCTGGTGTCTGGGATTTCTGTGCGAGGATAGTGACTTCTACTTCAAAATTTTCTCTGGTGTGTTTCTGTGTCCTATGCGCACCTAGCGGAGTGTTCGGTCTGAATTTAGATTCACCTACTACGTGTTATTTTAAGCGGACGAATTTCTAAAAGCGTTGCATAGTTTTAAGACATAGGATCGTTAGGCGTTGATCAATCACTTAAGGACGCGCCTGCATTCAACTGCATTTGTAGCATCGATGACGTAACTAAAGGCATGGACTGGGATTATTTATCGGTGTATCAATTCAGTGTTTCTTGTACTCTTCCACACGATATCCAGAAATCCGACATCAAGTTGCTGGCTCCGGACACATGATGAGCTTCGTTTTCGTTGACAGCGAGATCGAACCAAAAAGTACGCACCACCCCTATTGCAATGCACCTCTATTTCCTCTGATATGCGCCCATGTATTTCGTAGCTTGTAGACGAAAACTATTTGAAAGGGACACAGTGCATATATTTATCGTATGATTGGAAAATACTCGTCTATACATTACAGAGAAATTTCAGCAACTGAGATAAAAACAGGCTTTAAGCAATGTTTATGCATAGCTTGTAGATGACGCAATTGATTTCGTTAAAAAACAACTGTCACCGAAATGACAGCACATCTATCAAATACTTCACAGTCTTATCTGGTTATCAAAACGCTCAATGGGTCTTCGAAAGCTTTGCTTGCTAGTAGCGCTCTCTAATAGCCCTATGGAAGCACTGAGTGAGGAGATGTCCAATGATTTTCCACAGTTTGTCTTCACTTGATAACCGC